AAGAGGTTGACGGGGTAAGAGCATTTTCAGGTCTGTTCGAATGGCACTCCAATTTCACATTTGTTTGTTTGCTGACATTCTCATAAAAGCTTGAGAATCCTTTTGCAAGGCATCTGGACAGCATGCCAACACTTCTAGGACCAGGGTTTTTTCCTCCAAGAATGTGGAGCATTCAGGTGAAAGATCTCAATGAGCAGAGGATTCCAACCTCTTAACTTGGGTAAGCACTGAGGTTTGCAGATTCATCAAGGTAGAGTCAAGAAGGCCACATAGCAGAATATCATAGACAAGGTTAGTTCTCATGTTTCTAATTGGACGGCAGATAACCTCTCCGTTGCAGGAAGAAAAACATTAATATCATCAATTATATTGGCCATGCTATATTATATAGAATGAAATCAACCCCTCTTCCAGTTGGTATTTATGATGTTATTGAGAGCGGAAAAACATGACATTTCTCCATAGTAGTGCCAGCAAACAAGGGGTGCATCTAGTAGCATGGGATGAAGTATGTGAACACAAAGAGGCTGGTGACCTACAAATGCATCATGCTAGAGCCCAAAATTGTGCTTTCACAAAGTCAACATGGGGATTGATATCGAAAAAAGATTATTTGTGGTTAAAATTCTGAAAGAAAGCATAGATGTGGCAGTGACATGATCCCTAGAGTTGCTTGAAGAGTATGGGATCAAGGACATGGTTGAGCATTAAGTTTAGATGGAAGCATATGTTAGATTGATCAAAGTTTGGAGAATGGTACAAATGTGAATTTTTGGAAAGATATGTGGGTTCCACACTTAGAAGCGTTGGAGAAGTATGCAGTGGTGCCAATTCATCAAAAAGAGTATAACTCGAATGTGGCAGGTGTTGTTTCAGAGATGGGTTATTGGCTATGGAATAAACTGAAACCCTGCCTCCCTGAAGATATTCTCAATAGAATCCTTGGGATTGAATTAGATAGTCATCTAAATAATCCTAACACTATTCCATGGAGTTTAACTAACAAGAGGATGGGCACAGTGGTAGAGTGGATAAATGCTTCACCATTATCTGTTGGAAGATTTGGCACCAAAGGAATCTGAGGGGGATGCTCAGGCCAGATTGGTGTGGAATAGCTCATCACCAAAGGAGTAAGTAATCAATTGAAGCCAAGCAATGATGAGGTGAAGAAGAGAGGAAACCACAGTGCTCGGGTACCACCTTAGTGGAATTACATTGAGGTAATTAATGATGGGCCCTACATTAGATCGGTTGGGAATTGTGGCTATGAAAGCGTCATACTTCACCATATGGGACTGGCCATCAAAGGCTTCGGCTGCTTAATGGGTTTGGCAAATAGTCTGAGCGCAGAATTATGGGCTTGCATGCTAGGCCTTTTGTGCATGGGATTCTGGAGCAAGGACGATTGAACTTAAATCTAAGTATCTAGAAGTGGTGTAGGTAGTGCAAAGCAAGGTGAATGGCTCTCATCTGGACGGAGATCTAATGCTGGAGATTCAGCATATGATAGCAAGGGAATGGATTGTTTGCCTGAAATTGTGCCGAAGGGATTCAGATACAGTTGCTGACTATCATGCAAAGATGGTCTTAAACAATGATTAAACCCTTTTAATTTGTAAGAAGCCTCTTTGCTTTATGTCCAATCTCAACTCCACATAAAATGGCTTCTCATTGTTGGGGTGTGCTAACCATCTGAACATGCGTTTTTACTATTAAGATATTACAACAGTAAAAGTTTATTACATGAGTAGTCTATGCTATTTATGAAAACAATAACTCCTAGTTATATTGGCTGCTCTACTGATAACTTTCTTCCGATACATGTATAGATGATCAAAACTAAAAACCCGTATAGATGCCAATAGCAAAAGATCACAACTGAGCCAATATGAAAAATCAAAATGAGGATTGAATACCTGTGCACAAGCTATAGCAAAGAGCAAAGAATCTCCATGTCTCCAATGACTTCCCCAAAGGTGAAACTTGTTCTTGGCTTTGGCAGAATTATAAGCACACTGATGCATAACAATATCCATTAGACTTGTGTGTGCAGATAAGTCTGAAGAGAGGACAAACATAAAATGTGTCATAGTTCAGATGTCTCGGAAAAATTATTTTGTAATACACTTTCAAGTACCTGAGCTAACCGAGCTAGCAGATACAAAGCTAGCGTACGCCTCCTACTTGAATCATTTAATGCCAGGATAGAAAAACCAGCAATTGAACCTGCTAAAATTCTGCCCCATCATCCCCTCAAACAAAGTCATAATTAAGCGATGTGTGCATAACACCATGGAGCAACAACCAAGCATCACAGACCAGATAATAAATTTAAAAACCTTGTGAACAAATTACAAAAGAAATGAACTTACGTATTCAGTGGAACCTCCTTCTTTCTCCATTTTCTCAGTAAACATCTCAGGGCATGATAACATCCAGTAAAACCACCAAAAAGTAGACCAATACGACATGCTTCTTCTCTTACAATAAGATCTCTTTCTGAAACAAGTTGCTGTGGGGGAAAAGGAAAAGCATATCATCACACATTTCTCCCTTTAGTACTAAAATAAGAAATGCAACGCAAATTATGGTTACTACTTCCATCAAATATACATTATTACTTAACAATGCAAAGATAGAAAGACAAAAAAGTCCTTCAATATTCTTTGCCACAAAGTCCACCTAGGGTAAGTTCAGTTGGACTCGATTAGTTTGGGATTTGGTAGAGGTCCTAATGAGTTTCATTCACGCAAAAATAAAATAGGCATACTCACAACAATCTTACTCCTTATTGCCGAAAAGGAGGCAATGAGTTTTCTATAAGCATAAAAATCCCACGTCCAACATCGCCACTATTTGATTAAATCAAAAGGGCAACTTTCCGCCCTAAATTCATTCAATTCTACCATTGATCCCAGACAGAAGGAAGTTAAAAGCAAAAGCCAAACAGCAACATCAGTGATCACAAAACCGCCAAGCTCCAATTCACTTCTCACCTTAAGATCAAGAAGAGAAGAGTACGACTGCCGCCGTGCGAGCTTAAACGCGCGAAGAAGAATTCCAATACCGACCCGGACGCCATACGAAAGCAGGAAGCTCTGGCAGAGATTACCTATAGCATGGGCGACACATGATTCGCCAGGACTATGATCGCAGGGAGGGCAATCCAGGTGGTGCTGATGGTGCAGGCGAGCAGCAGCACGGCGCTGACGACGCTGCAGCTCCTCAATTGCCTCACGGAGGCGATCCTCCGCCTCGTGAAGGCGGCGCTCGGCGTCGGAATTGTCTTGGAGCGGCGGCGAGGGAGGAGAAGATACGGTCATATTGGAGCAGCAAATGGAAGCAATCTTGTGGCATCTGAAAGCGTTTTCGGTGGAAAAGCGAAGATGAAGCTACAGATGCATAACACAAGAAATGGCCTGCGTGATCAAAATAAAATGAGTCATCATCCGCATTCTTCAAGCGCAATTAATTACGCAAATTTCTATTTGCGATTTCAGGTTCGGCCCTTCGAGTTTTGAGTACGAAGGTGTTTTTTATTTGTTATATTTATATATATTTACTTTCATTTTATATTTCAAAATTTAAATTTAAATTTAAATTATTTTTAATTCAATTTTTCGGCTCAGTGTTTTATTAAGAAAAAAACAAATTGTGTTGTTATATCATGTGTATAATATTTTTTATTGTATAGAAAATTAATTGATTCTGCAAAGATAATTGAAATTTGTTTAAGAAGTCAGGTTCAATTTATCCTCAGCAGATTTAACTTTTTCCCAACTTTATGCAATATATGGAAAAATATATATATATATATATATGTATGTTGCACATAGTTTTAGAAAACAAAAAATAAATAAAAAGTAAAAGTGACCACTAGAAATGCATCATACTTTAAGCATAGACATAGATAAAGGTATGTTGCCCACAAGAGTTACATCTGCTTACGTTTTTTTATTCATATCATTTTTTGGGTACTTGGATAATTTAAGAAGCATTTTTAGAAAATACTTTCACAAAAGTCAAGATAAAACGTCAACGGGATTGGTTCTAGTAAAAGGGATTAGTCTCCCACAATGTGATAAACCAAGTTTCAAATCCCTACTGGGAGAGATGTCCATATTTAGTGCCCGATAATACCTCTAATATGATTGCCTCCAATAAAATAATACCTATGCTTTAACAAAAAAAATCGAGATAAAACTTCTCTCATATGTTTATTTTGTATGTTAAAAATTACTTTTAAAATTATGATTTTATTTTTACTCAAATACTCTCTTTATCATCATCAAACTTGCAATTTTACGGTATAAAAGAGTCAATATTATTAGACCGGATGACCTTGACCTGTTCAAATCATTTACCCACACTAATTTTTTTTAGGAGAATTACAATCAAGTCTCATAAAAGAAAAATAATTACTAAAAGGTTCCAATAACAACATCAGCAATCTATAATAACAAGTGATACAGTGAAAATGACAACCTCTGGGACTTGTTTTTTAATTGTTTTTCTTGCTTATGCCTTATTGTAACTCCTTTTTTTTTTGGTGAGATACCGCACTAATTTCGATAAGTCAATAACTCATTTTCTAGTTAAATCAAATTAACTTAAATTTGTTTCATATTTATTTTCAACTGTCGTGATGACCTTCTTCTAGTTGTGCTGCTGTACATCCGTGATACTTGCTTCATTTTTTATTTTTTTTATTTTTAAAGTTACCGACCGTGCACTGTACCTATTCCGTAAGTCCACATCATCATTTCACTGCAACAAATTTCGATACAGAACTAATATTTTAAAACAAATTAAATTTTAGGAACTAAACTATAAATTTGAAATTAAATAAATTAAAACAAAAATAAATCCAAGAACTAACATTTTAAAACAGATTAAATTTTGGAAACTAAAACTACAAGTTTGAAATTAAATGGATTGAAACAAAAACAATCCAAATTTCAAAGACAAAAAATTATATTAACTTTTTTAGTGGTGTAACCATGAACACATCACAAGAGTTAGTGACCCCTTTAAATGAAGACAATAGGAATACTAAATTTGCCGTAGAAGTCGATGGAGCCTTCTCCTGCGTGCACCGAAAAGCTGCTTGCGGAGGAATTATCATGAATACGGCGCAGGTAGTCATTGAAGGGTTCACTCAAAAACTGGAACAAGATGATCACCTTACGGCGGAACTTTGGGGGTGCTTGTTGGGGTTAAAGCGAGCCTGGGACCTGGTAGAAAGAGACATTACTTTACGAAGCGACTCAGCTGAAGCTCTTCAGGTTATTACTGGTGCAGAAAATCCCCTCCATGAGGACTGGAACGTGATTTCTGAAATCAAGAACATGATGAAAAGGGAATGAAAGGTGGAGCTGCAAGTAATCAGCGGAGACTCTAATAACATGGCACATGCATTAGCAAAGAAGGCGCTGCAAGGAGATGTTGGACTTCAGATTCTGAACAAGGAATCAGTGCTGGAGTGTATAGCGTCCTTGGATATTACTTAGCCCTTCTTTCTCTGGTCTGGTTTCCTGTTTTGTTCATTTGCTTTCAGGTGTATCAAAATATATATATATATATATATATTAACCCTTTTTATTTTCATTAATTCATACTTGTAATTTTCTTATTTAATGTATAAATTAATTCACTAAAATATACACTTGGTTCTTTAATTTTATATGTTTCAATTTGATCCCTTAACTTTAAAAAGTATACTTTTAGTCTTTTAATCCTAATTTTTTTTTAAAAAAAATGACATTAAGATCTGAAATGTTGATAAAATATTTTCAAATACTAATATATTTAATTTTCAAAACATCCAAAATTGTTACAAAAATCATCATTGAAACCTAATAATTTTAGAGTTAAAGGACCAAATGTATACTTTTTAAAGTTAAAGGATTAAATGTATACTTTAGCCAAATTAATTTAATATTTTAATCTTATTGATTTTGCATGTTTTTATATTTGAATCGGATCGATTAAGTTAGATAGATGCGATATGATATGCTACAGGAAATTAATACAGTGCATCCGAGTTCCTCGTTTATGTGTGTATGTATAACTCCTCATTCTAAACTTGCCTTAACAACACAAAAGAAACAATGGCTTCTTTCTTCACCTCTTCCTTACTCAAAAGAACCCCAACACCAAATTCTGTCATTGTCGCCTCAAAATCTTTGTCCTTCAATTCATCGCCCAAAAAGCCGCCACTGCGATGGTTGTTGGCCCTTGCCGTATGGAACCCTCCCACCGCCTCCTACTATTGGGGATTGGTTGTGAGATTCGGATTCGGATTAAAAAACTGAACCCTCTTCTCCAAGTGAGAAGGTTGAAAATCTTCCTCCGACTTGTCTTTAAGCGGAGTTGCTACAATAGCTTCGCTTGATTCGGAGATTATTATTTTGGTTCTATAACATTTTTTTGGGAAAGGTCCATAAAAAGAATATTTTCTAATTCAGCATCTAAAAAAAGTTAATTAAAATTAAAATTTTGAAATTCAAATAAAATGACAAAAATGCCCCCTAATCCCATTGAAACAACTTGTTATTAATCCCAAATTGTAACTTATTATTTCACAATCAAAACTTGTTATTTCTAAATAAATTATTATTCATAAAAGGGAATTTTTGTTATTTTTCTTGAATTTCAAAATTCCAATTTGGATTTACTTCTTTCTATATCATTTTAAAATATTAGGTGCCTGAATTGAAAAATGTTAGGGAAAATGACTAGAAAATACATTGTGAAAATCAAAAAGACAAGAAGAGAATCTAAATGAGTAAAATGCCCAAATGATCATGAGGTATGAATTTGAAATATTCAAATTTTGCTAGAATGACTAAAATGCCCATGAAGTGAGAGAAAAACAGCTGAAGGTGAAAATACTCAAAACAGAGCAAGACGTTGAAACAACATGCGAATAATGAAAACTGAAAAAAGAAGGCTTAAAGCAACACATCCAGAGCTGAAAAGAGAGAAGTATGAGTCATTTATCTTTCTAAATGCTGTTATCTTACTCCTTCAACTATCATCATTCTACAGATATTGTTCATTTGGGTGGATGATGATGCTTCTGTCGTTAAAGCACTCAATTAAACTAGGTCCTAATTGATTTGTAGTTAGGATCGACCTAGGTCATTACTTCCAATGAGCAATTTATGGGTTTCTTTAGGTAAAAATTCAGGTGATAAAAAAATGCAATAAATTGGACCTAAACTAAAATGCAAAATTCTAATCCTAAATGGAAAATGCAAATGTCCTAAAATCTATATGAAAATTAAATTAAACTAAATAAATGCAATGCAATTTTTGGGGGGTTTTTTTGAAGGAAAATAAAAATAATTAATAAAGAAAATTAATTAGAAAGCAAAGAGAATTAACAAGTAAAAATGGAAAAGTTCTTTTCAAGTAAGGTAGAGGGGACAACTTAGGATTTGCATGGATTTAATCTTCATAACCTTAATTAGTTAATTAGACCAAAGGGAAGTGATAGGAGAGTGGAATTAATAAACTTAATCACCTATTTGAAACAAAGGGAACCCTCAATTTCAAAAACCCTTAAACTATTAGAGAACTCATAACAGTATAAGGTTGGTTAATTAAACTTATTAAAACCAATAAAAAATAACTCAATTAATTCTGGAAATTATGTTTGAAATTATCCAATTAAACAATTAGACAATTAGCCAACTTAATTAAACAATTAAGAGGCAAAAGAACCCAAATTTTGTAATTCAAACCACATTGATAATTAAACTCATAATGAAAACTCAATTATAAATTCAATTAACAATGCAAAGGTTCCAAACATAAATTCAAACAAGTGTCTCGGCACAAATAAGATCCAAATATCAATTCAATCCAAGAATAAAATTGACAATCTAGAACTAAATTGTCTCAACAAAAATACAACTTGAACTCATTTAAAACTAAACAATTTCAAGTCCTTGAATTAAAAAGATAAATGGAACATCACTCCCTTGTGGTCTTCAAGTGCTAGCCCAAGGCTCTAGTCTCCTCCATGCTCCTCTCAAGTTGCCTCCCTATAAGCTTAAGCTTCCATCAAATTGTCTCCTCCTCCAAGCTCCTTAGTGCAATTCATGGGTGTGTGACGCAATGAATAGTGAAAGTGATGTTGGGTGGATAATCGAGAAGTGGCGTGACTGGAGGGATGGAGAACAATGAATATTTATTGGTAAGAGATGGAGTAGGCGTTGAGTTCTTCCGTGGGTGTGTATGGAGAAGGAAAGAGTGTCATCTTTAGGCGTGCCTCCCTCCTCCAAAAATAAGGAAAATAGTATAATGAGGGAAAAGGAAATTTTTACGGATCCAAAGCTCAAGCCCATTAGTATTTAATTGACCCACTTGATATTAGCCATTGGATTATGCTTAAATTCCAAGAAACAATCTTGTGCCATTAGATTTCCCATATGCTCTTTCTTGACCTACAAGAATTTAAATGCATCTATTAATGCAGATTATATACAAATACAATATAATCTCTATCAAAATTAACTATTAGATATGCACAAAAATTAGGCAAGAAATTGCAAAATAATCTTTCTAAAAATATGAGACTTGTTTCCAAAGAAATAGAAAAATTAATTCAAAGTCAAAAATAAGAAATCACAAAATATTTATATTTTTAATCCAAAATCTCAATTTTTATGCAAAATCCAAAAATCAACCAATTAATTCAATAATGCATAAAAAGTTCATTTAAGCTCAAAATTATCATTTAAATCCTAAATTAATGTGGGATAAAATGTATAAAAATTGGGTTTTATCAGTGGATTTTACTTATGGGTGAGCGTCTTGTAATAGGAGGGGAAATGAACGTGCGGCATTACATAAGTGAGTAGAAGCTAATAGTGGGGTTCGGAAAGTTACTGTTAATTAACATGTTTATTATGATGTACTTCAAGCATGCTCAATACTTCTTCTTGCTTGAATTGAGATCATGATTAACTAGCCATACCACATGACTTTTCTCCTAAATTCTGCAACACATTCCTTACTATAGTTAAGTAATGGGATTCACAACTTGCATAGCAAAATTTACTACTTTCTTAATGGGATTTGCAGTCTGTTTTTAGAGGATTAACAACATGTTTATTTGAAACCATTTTTAATCTATTTACACACAATTTTACTAAATATATAACGTTAATAACAATTTGCGAAGTGAAAGTGACGATTCTTGTAACGAGTTTTGTAACTTGTTCTTAATCCATTTGCATACAATTTTACTAAACATATAATGGGATTCACAACTTGCGAAGTAAAATTTACCACTTTCTTGGGATTTGCAATATGTTTTCAAGGGATTTGCAACTTATTTATTAAGAATCATTTTTAATCCATTTGCACACAATTTTACTAAACATGTAATGTGAATAATAACCTGCAAAATGAAAACAACAATTCTTGTAACGAGTTTTGCAACTTGTTCTTAATCTATTTATACACAATTTTACTAAACATATAATGTATTCACAACTTGGGTAATGAAATTTACTGCTTTCTTAATGGGATTTGCAACATATTTTCAAAAGATTTGCAACTTATTTTTTTGGAACCATTGACATGTAATGTGAATAACAACTTGTGAAATAAAAATGACAATTCTCGTAATGAATTTGTAACTTATTTTAATCTATTTGCACATAATTTTACTAAACATGTACTGTAATTCACAACTTCCGTAGTGAAATTTATCATTTTTTTAATGAGATTTGCAACCTGTCTTCAGGAGATTTGCAACTTAATTATTTTAAACTATTTTTAATCTATTCGCACACAATTTTACTAAATATGTAATTTAATAAAAATTTGCAAAATGAAAATGACAATTCTCATAATGAGTTGTACAACCGGTTCTTAATTCATTTGCACACAATTTACAAAATATGTAATGGGATTCACAACTCGCAACAAACAACCATAAATCAATATTTTATTTTTCCAACAATCAATTTTCATCAACATACGTGGCATCGAATACACACACTCTTCTTCCATTAAGAACTTCAATAACCACCTTATGCTTATCATTTGCACGCAATCCTCATGGCCATGCAATCGTTTGCCATTGCTTTTTCATTTCCGATACGTCAATCTCCCATCCTTATCAAATACACAACCTTAGCCCTCCTCATCAATAAACTCGCCCTATCTGATCATGAAAAAACTACAAAAATGAAGAACCCAAACCCCACCATTAGCCTCTACTCACTTATATAATGTCACACCTTCATTTCCTCGCAATAAACCCACTTACCCATCAACAAAATCTACCCAAATAAACAATGTCTGTAGAACAATGATAGTCAGAGGAGTAAGATAACATCATTTAGAA